AATTTTCCTTTGACATGCAGATAAACAAATCTTATTTGTTCGCGAAAATTAAAAAAAGAAAGGAGGGATGCAACACGAGAGCTTATCTTAAAAACAATATTAGAGAATCTCAAAAATAATCTAAGCTTTTTTATTCAGATATATCAAATTTAAGTTTTTAACAATAGAAACTTAAATGTAGTAATATAGACGATGGATAAGCAATTGTTTTATATAAATAAAAAGCCTATAACAAGGAAGTAAATCTTTAGCCAGAAGACAATCATACTTTCTCCATTTCAAAATGTAAGTTGTTTTGGCTGAAAGTTCGAATATTAAAAACTACTTTTTTTTAAAGTATCACTTTATATATAATTAAAATATTTTAACCAATGAAAAAATGACTGCAAAATAATATTGGTCATACAATAGTTAATAAAATTAAAAAGTATCTAAAATTATCAAAATAATTTATATTTTAAAATATAGAAAAACTTCAAAAATAACTTATATTTTGAAACAGAGGAAATATTAAAAATAGAAATTTAGCTACAGACTAAAATTTTAGAAGAATAAAAGTAGGCAGCACAGTAAATGTTTTTTTTCAATATGGTAAAAAAAAAATCGAACTAATGTTTTTTAGTTGATGTTAATATGTAAGTGAAACAAAGAAAAGAATCTGTCTTACTACATTTGACATATGTAGCTTTTTTTTTTAACTTAAATTATAAATTTTCCTTTCTTTATATATTTTGCCAATATAATACTCTGTAATATTTTTTTTTTGACAGACTTTATAATTGAACTAAAAGCCCATAAAAAACGTAAAACTAATATTTTTTTTTTTTAGAACAATGTAAAACTAGTTTTCTTGCTTCATCACAAATAATTTTTTTTGACATTCACATACTCAATAAATTGTAGTTAGAAATATTATTAAGATCAATATATTTGTGGGAATAAAAATTTTAAAGAAAATGAGCTACCATCTTCTATCATCTGTCTTTAGGGGCCTTCCCCTAACAACCCTAAAATAAGATTCTTACACCAAAAAGAGAGATGCAAATCTCAAATCTTTCCCCCTATTATTATATGTGACTGTTGTTCTTCTCTCTTTTACCATCTTTGGCCTCAGGGAAAAAGGAATACTTCTTAATGGATTTAGTAAATAAATTACAGAAATAAAAAGGAAAGATTTTTAATAAGCTT